GGTGCAATTTGCAGCTCTTCCTGTTCGCGTCGTGCTTCAGTCTTTATTGTAAACATCGTTACTCTGTGTGTAATAATGGGGAATTATGTTGCCTTTTTGTTAACTCTTAGTTGTCAGGTGAAAATGCAACAGGCCCATTATGTCTGAAAATGAACAGCTCTTAATTAGCAGTTCAATAAAGACTCGCTTCCCCTTTTCTCAAATGATTGCAGCCGTGTTGTTTTCTTACGCTCATGAAGCAGAGCGGCCTTTTATCGTGCAGCTTGTGCTCATTGTGCTTTCTGGAGCAGCAGGCTGGACTGCACAAAAAAAAAAAATCTTTAATCTCCAGTTGTTTGCTAAAGGATCTGGTTCTCACGTGTTGGACTAGATTGCAGTCTAGGTCATAATTGGCAAGAAAACGAAGCCTCTGCTGCATCTGTTCAGACTTCTCCGGTAAAACAAAAGTGTTTGGAGCAAAGAAAGTTGAACCAAACAAGTTCATGCTTTAACACTTGTGATAATCTTTTTTTATTTTTTACTGAAAACGTGCATTTATGTTTCCAAAAGGAGAGAAGGAATGCTAATTACTTTTCCCATTTCTTTTAGAAGAATCATTAGTATCAAAAATGGTTCATTTTTGTAGGTTTAAGGCAGATTATCTGATTAGGAGGATGTTTTAATCTAACGGTGTGTCAGCCTGCAGGGTTGTTTTAGTCCCACGTTCTGCCAGATGATTTCACAGATTAGTTCCTCTTGTCTGACTGATCAGTAAAATCACCTGAAAGCATGCTCACTTGAAAGTACACACGTTTTCCACCGCTGCAGATCAACCCCAACAGCGTCAATCGTACATTTTGAGTCTGGTGGATGAATCAAAAATATAAAAATAAATTGTGGAGCATTTTCCATGTATGAACCAAATCCATTAATCTGAGTGAGTTGTTCCTGGTAGAACTCACTAAATACATTTACCGTATTTTTCAGACTATAAGGCGTATTAAGCAAAACAAGTTCATTTTGACAGATTTTTGTGTACCACGTGTACCTCATAAAATCAGTTCGAGGTCAGTAAGCACAATCAGAATTAATGCGTAAGGCACATCGGATTATGAGGTTCAATGTCGATTTTTGAGAAAATTAAAAGATTTTAAGTGTGCCTTATAGTCCGAAAAATACGGTATATTTATACTAACAAGAACACTTTATTATTTTATTTTACCAGGAGAAAGAAAAACTCATTGAGATTAAAAATCTCATTTACAATAGTGGCCAAAGCTACTGGTAACAAAATGCAAAGTTTCATAAAACACACACAAAATAAAAACTTATTAACAATAACAAGTAGCATTTAAACAAGAAAAATGTCTTCCTTCTTTCGGCTGCTCCCTTCTTCAGGGGTCGCCACAGAGAACTATCGCGCACGTAGACGTGGCGATTGTTTTTACGTCGGATGTCCTTCCTGACGCAACCACAGACCACCGTGTGGAGCAGAGCTGCCATCTAGGGTGCCCGTGGGAGCAGATGGTGGGGGTTGGGGACCTTGCTCAAAGGGCCAGATTGAGGCAAATGAGGGTGGAGGTGCATGTTTCACCTTTCCCTCCCACATATTGATATTGTCGACCCAGGGAGTTGAACCGGCGACCTTCCGATCGCAAGCCCACCTTCTCTGTGCCATCACTCCCTGGTTAACATTTAAATAAAACAAACTGTAAAACGTAACTGTACATACTCAAAATAAATGTATTCATAACAGATAAAACACTTGTAATTGAAACATAGTGTTAAATATTTATTGTTACGTGAATTAAGATACAAGGAAGTGTTTTAATTTATCTTTTTTTTTTTTTCCTCGAGGGAAGAAATGAGGGATCTTTGAGTCTTATCCAATACGACTGTGTTCTTAGAAAAGACAAATATACAAACAGCTCATGTTAGACTATTTTTTATTTCTACAACAGTTAAAATAAATGTAAATACCCTTCAAACATAAAATTTATATTGCAAAACAAAGTTACTCCAAGATAAAATTAGGCCCATAAAAAAACTTTTTTTAACCTAATTAGTTTCCTCTCCTTATTCATTTATTTAATTATTTCTTTGACCCCAAACTTACTTTTAACCTTCACATGACATGCTGATTTCCCCACAGGGAGCTGTTGGAAAATGGGGTGCCAAGGGTGCTGCAGCTCCTTCTTGTGGTTGCCAGAGGACATGCATGTCAAAATGCATTTTTAACTCAATTCAATTCATTTCAATAAACTTTATTAATCCCAAAGGGAAATTAAATGTTGTAACTCATCCTCGTTTCATTAAGATATGTTATAGATGCTGATGGCAGTAGGCAGGAAGGATCTCTTGTAAAGATTCGTCCCACAGCGGATCTGAAGGAACTGGCCACAGATGCCGTTCAATCCATCCATCCGGACTCGGATGGCCTCTCGGTTCTCCCGGGCTGCAGGACCGCCCGAATGCCAGACTGAACTCCTTCCAGAATGATGGCCACTCCTCCCAGCAGCCCACCGAGCTCCTCATTGCTGCTGACAGCTAGCTGCAGGTGCCCGGGGACAATCCTGGTCCTTCTACTGTCACGAGCCGTGCTTCCTGCTAGTTCCAGGATCTCCTTAGGAGATCTTAGGATCTCAGTGGTCAGGCACTTGAGCATAGCCAGCAGGTAGATGGGAATGCATCCACGGACCCTCCTTTTCAACTCATTTGCGATTTGGCACTGTAATAAAACTGAAGAAGATTTTTATTGTTGTGGCACGTGTTTAAAATCCAAAAATGTGATAATTTTCAGTTTTATGAAGCAGCAAGGTGACTGGGCGCTGGTCTGCGAGGATTTTCATCTACTGAAAACGTACAAAAAACATCATGATTGCACTTTTATAGACGCATATTGTTCAAAATTCACAGCATAATTTTAATATTCATAATCAGATAAGACAACACACCGTCAGAGTGCATTTCACTGCATGTATTCAGGATTATATTTGTTGTGTCTTTGCGGCAGAACAAAAACATTTTATCACATTTTTTATCCTTTTCATGTTTTTGCGTAAACTACCTCAGTTTGTCACGTTTCACACCCGCCTGTGATTTTATGGATGAGAAACCAATGAAATGTGTAAAAAAATAAAAAATGAGCTCACCACAGCTTTTTAAATATTTCCTGAAAAGTTGCATTTTTGGAGAGATTGCTGCTTGCCGTCCATCACGTGTTCATGCGTTCATTTAGGGTCAGACAAATTAAGACGCTGATAATACTGAAACAGGCAGCTCAGTTGGTAGAGTTGTTGCCTCTCAGTGAGAAGGTCTCCGGTTCAAATCCTGGCCCCAGGGCCTTTCAGGGTGGAGTTTGCATATTCTCTCTGTGCTGCGTGGGTTTTCTCCTGGTACTCCAGTTTCCTCCCACAAACCAAAAACATGCATGTTAGGCTGACTGGTAACTCTAAATTTTCCCTAGGTGAGAGAGTGAATGGTTGTTTGTTTCTATGTGTCTCTGTGATGGACTGGAGACAGTCCAGAGTGTCCCCTGTTTCTTGCACAGTGACTGCTGGACATGGACACTAGTGACCCCCGCGACATGAAAAGGAAGAAGGGGGTAAAGATAATGGATGGATGGAAAATACCGAAAAAATATTCTCAATCTGACAGCCTAGAAATTAACTGAAAACTGTAAATAAATAGATTTAAATAGAAACCTGTTTAGTTTTTGTGTTTAAGGCCTTAAGATGAATTTTACAATGAACTAACACTAAATAAATAATGTAATTCCTTTCAAGCACACCCAGACACAAGTGGTTTCCTTAAACTGGTGAATTTATTAAAATTCGATACGTGAAAACCAAAACAAAACAATAATTAACTCTTAAGAAGAATAAACAACAGATCTCAATATTAAATGCTTGTACACTTGATGGAAAACAAAATACAGAAATAAAACAAACATCCTTCATTGGCTGTGCGCTACCAAAAGGAATTAGGGTTATTTCTTCCATTTCAGCTTCTAACTCTTTTTTTTCTTTAATTTAAAGTCTGTGCTTATTTGATGCTAATCTCGCAGGTCTCACAGAGCTTCAGGTCTCTCTTGTAAATGAGTCTTTGAGGCTCAATGGGATTAACCTGTCTAAATAAAGGTTGAATGAATGAAAAATGGCACCGTCTGACTTCTTCTGGTACCTTTCACACACCTGAATACAGTGCCATCTACAGGTGGCGTGTAAAACTACATATAATTAAACCAACGCTACAAGCCAATTGAATATGAAACATAAAATAAACTGTGGCAGTTACAAATAAAAAACACTGAAGTGAGATGAATAAAAGTCTCGTCCATCAGCTGTCTGCTACACTCAAGGTGTCTTAAAACAGAAAACCTCGCTCAAGCACCATCTATTAGTATTTAAAGTCTCCCTGCCCTCACGCAACCTTTATTTACACAGGTTAGTCTCACTGAGCCTAAAGGACTCATTTACAAGAGAGACCAGGACTGCTGGTACCGACTTTCTGTTTGTAAACAACATCCCTTTGGTTTTATCAATATTTAGCACCAGTTTGAGATGGAACAATTCTGACTGGATGATGTCGAATACAGACTGTAAGAGCAGAAAAAACCTTAGCGATTGTTCTAACTCAGCAATAAACAACTGTGTCTTCAGTATAGAATTGTAAGGATGAATCAGGAATTATCTGACCTACATTACTTATGTAGATTGTGAAGAGGGTGGTCCTAAAACTGAGCCTTGTGGTACACCATTGTTGGCAGTTAAGATATCTGGAAGTACCATTATGTTGAGCACATTGCCTCTGATATGAGAGCTAGTTGGAGAGAACCAACCAATAATGCACAACAAATGCATATTAACTCATTCCAGCTGTCAGCACGGCAGCGGAGGGCTAATGGTTTGGGCTCATGAAGTCATTGAGACAGTCCTGTTGACAGTACTTTATGTATTGGCTGCAGTACAAAAACAGGGCACGTTGTGAACTGGTTTCGTCTGTTTCTTTGTGTCCCGCAGGGAAGCCAGATCAAACAGATCCCCACCAAGTACAGCCAAGGGGAGTCCACCAAGTTCCTCGTCCTCACCGTGGTGTCCATCCTGTGCATCGTTGGCGTGCTGCTCACCTCCACCGTAGTGTACTGCCTCCGTCACCGCTCGCACCACAAGCTGAAGGAGAAGCTCACCAACCTGGGCACCGACACCAGCAGCGATGCTACTGCCACCTATCAGGTAGGAGGAGTTACTGCATCTGTACAGTGGTTCCCAGTCCAGGTCCTCGAGAAACACTACCCTGCTTGATTTAGTTGTTTCCTGCTCCGCCACACCTGATTCAGTGATTTAATTACTTCCTCGCCTTCTGCAGAAGCCCGTTAATCATCCATTCATTCAAATCAGGTGTGTCAAAGCAGGAAAACAACTAAAACGTGCAGGATGGTGTACCTCAAGGACCACAGTTGGGAACCACTGATCTAGCAGCATCTGTTGATATATGATCAAATGAATGTGAAAACTTTAATACCCAACAAAACTAAACATTTGTTCATGTTTTACAAATATTTGCTAAATAATTACTAGGTGTTAATGGTATTTTACATCTGCATATGTACATTTCATTATAGTCTGGCAATTTCGTGTAAACGGAAAATATTTATGAACAAACAGCTCAAAGCCGACATGTGGAAAATTAAAATGTTTCTGTAATGAGCCCATTTCCTGGATTTATTCTGTTTTTAAAGGCACTAATGGATTGTTTTAAAGGGGAAGGCTTGCAGAATGCTGTGTGCTGTTTGCCTGATACCTTTAACAGAGAAAAGTATCCTGTGCTCTGATTGGTCAGTTCCTCTTCTTGAGCAGGAAGCATCTATCATTTCACATTTGTGCAGCCAAAATGAGAAAATAGGCATAATTAGATGATAAATAAGGATATCCTTCATTATGATTTAATTACTCCTTTTTGTTTTATCTTCTGGACAGTCAAACTTCTAAATATAACAAATAATGCTGTTTTTTTTTCTTGATAATTCTGAATTAAATATGAGAATAAATACATATTCAAGGCTAACCTTATTTTTTAAACAATTTTGCTTAATATCATTGAAACTTGGATATTAAAAGGTTAATTTTTTTAACATGTACATTTCAATCCACTTGAAGCTTTTATTGTTACCAGTTTCTCATCATGTTTTAAGCAAATCATTGCCCTGTGTTGTTCACTCGTTGTCTCTCTCTATAATTTCTTGTTTAACACATGAAGCAATATAGAAACGTTGGTTTTTTTTCTATCCACCTCTGGTTATTTCCATTCCTCCCCCCCTGCTTGCTGTGCAATTATCCTTTGGCCAGAATAGCCAAGTGTGAAATTTAATTTACAGAATCCAATATTAAGTGGCTTTTTGAGCAAAGAATTAGATTGAGATTTTTCCATCGCTGTCTCTGACCTTTTCCTCGCCGTGTTTTTAAATGGGAGCGGTCCTATGAACATTGATTTTATAATGAGACCGTCCCGTCGCTCTAAGTGCCGTCGCTTGACGCTCTTCTCTGGGGATGTTTACCTGTTGAAGTGGACTGCGTTGATGCGTCAAACAGTGTGGGGCTTTGTGATGATAGTTTACCTGTTATCAGGAAGACAGGAGCGGAAAACAACAGGCAGTGATTTTACAGCTTTGTAAAAAAATATGTTTTTTTTAAGTCAAACATAGCTCCTCATCTTCCATTCTTATATATATATATATATATATATATATATATATATATATATATATATGTATATATACACACACATATATAGTTCTTGAGAACACTTTGAAGTCCCTAAATGAAAATATACTAGGGATGCATGATATTATCGGCATAGTATCAGTATCAGCCGATATTAGCGATAAAGTTAAATATCGGATATTCCATCATAATAACTCACCGATATGAAAGGTGCTGATTATACAGTATACATTATATATACAGTATAAGGCACTGTTTCTGTATGAAAACCCAGTGACAAGGATGCCTGCAGCGCCAGCTCAATGTTGTGACGTCACGTGCGCTGTTGAGTTTAGATTTGTGGAAATTTACACATTTGCACTGTTCGAGTGTTGTCATGTTAGAGAGAGTAATTGTCGTAAAAAATTTGACATTAAACATAATCCAAGTTGAAGTGTTTCGTAATGTTCAGCCTCTTTTTGGCATCTGCTTTTGGTAGCAGGCCAAAGTGACAAAGAATAATGTAGTATTTAAATTTCACAGCAGAGAAATATATGTAGTCTCTGCAAGTAGGTCTAGGGGGAAAAAAAACATTGATATTGATATCGGTTATCGGCCAAATACGTTTTAATACATCGGCGTATCGGATTTCAGCCAAAAATCCAATAATGTGTATTCCTAAAAAATACTAATGAAAAATCCTGCATACACCTGAATTTAGATGTTTTCCATTTCGTTAAATCGTTGACGAAAGTGGCCAGGTTGCTCATTTTGTGGAGAATTCCTCATTTGAAGCTCTTCTAGTTGACTGTTTCCTCCGTCGTTTTCATGGAGCTTCAACACTGAGCCACCGTCATCCTCAGTGTTCAACTCCCGTCTTAGCCGTGTAAACCTTGTCTCTCTGTCAGCACTGCTGTGTGCAGGGCTTCCCTGTGTGTGTGTGTGTGTGTGTGTGTGTGTGTGTGTGTGTGTGTGTGCATGCGTGCACAGTCTCCAGGGCTACAAGCAATTAAAGCAGACAGGAAGCGGCAGGCTGCCTGAAGGTCCTACTACTGCAGCTCCTTCATACAGACTGTCAAACAAACACACACACACTGTACGTGTGTGTGTGTGCGTGCGTGCGTGCATACTCGCCATCGACTGCATGTTAATGATTCAGGCCCTCGGCGCATTTGTTTGAGGCCTCACACCTTTGCTCACACACACACCTCCTTCCATTCACATCATTGCACCACCAGCTCCCCCCCACCACCAGCCCAGCTTGTCAGTCGACCGATCCCGCGATAGCTGCGACATGGGATTGGCCGCCGCAGACAAAGGCGATGCTGATTGACAGGCGTCGACGGAGGAGCGCGGGGCAGCTGCACGGCGGGTGAAGCTTGTGAATCCCCGGATTACTCTGCTGCTGACACGAGAATCTGAAGCGTCGCCGTCGGTTCGTCTTCACATCGGATACAACGTCCATTTTTACCTCGGAGCACTAAACGCTTCGTGTCATGTACAAAGAGATTTTATCACATAAAGTGGAACTTTTTGCACGTATCTCAATAAATCATTCGAGTTGATATCTCAGTGCATGAAGGAATACTTTTTAAATATGATCATGCTTCTTAAAAATTCTAAGTCAAACGATCATTTAGTAACTATTTTTCACTTTCTAAGCTTTTATGACTTTCTGCCATTAAAGGTGGGCAAAGGTGTAATTGTTTGTGTGCGTGCTAGATTATTTTTGTTGTCTGTCAGCAAAATATTTGAAGGAACAAAATCATCGGGTGTGCATCGACATCTGATGAGTTCATGAGGGTCACCACAACTAATCAGTCTGAGAAAAGACAACAATGTCAGTAGTTTTGTGGATTTTAAAGATAATGAGCAAGAACGATCATAATTCTGTTCATAACTTTTATGGACAGACTTTTTTGGTGCAGCCGGGGCGGAGGGAGTCCGGTACGATGGCCTCAGGATTCATCTCTGCTCTTTGCAGATGATGAGGTCCTGTTGGCGACATCGTGCCGTGATCTTCAGCTCTCACTGTAGCGGTTCACAGCCAAGTGTGAAGCAGCTGGGATGAGAACCAGCACCTCCAGATTTGAGGCCGTGGTCCTCAGTCGGAAAAGGGTGGATCGCTCTCTTCAGGTCGAGGGTGAGGTTTTTCCTCAAGTGGAGGAGTTCAAGTATCTCTGGGTTTTGTTCATGAGTGAGGGAAGAATGGAGCGTGAGCTTGACAGACAGACTGGTGCAGCATCTGCAGTATTGCAGACTCTGTGCCGGTCCGTTGTGGTGAAGAGGGAGGTGAGCTGTAAGGCAAAGCTCTCTGTTTACCGGACAGTCTACATTCCTACCCTCACCTATTTTATTTTTTTCATTTTTTCATTTACTCTTTATTTATACAGGTAGTCTCACTGAGCCATGAGAACTCGTTTTCAAGAGAGACCTGTTTAGGGAGCAGATGGGGGTTAAGGGCCTATGGTCATGAACTCTGGGTAGTGATTGAAAGAATGAGACCGTGGATACAGGAAGTTGAAATGAGTTTCCTCCGTAGGGTAGCTGGACTCTCCCTTCGACAAGTTCAGTTATCAGGAGGGACTTGGAGTAGAACCGCTCCTCCTTCATATCAAGAGGAGCCAGTTTAGGTGGTCCAAGCCATCTGATGCTGCCCCCAAGATCTGACTTCAGATGGATGAATGAGCAAGGACTTGACGTGGTAGTACCTGAGAGTCATCTCCAAGACATACTGTGAGCTCAGATAGATCAAGTGGTTTATGTCATTAAAGGTGATCACAGCTCATACCTTTTATCACCTTTTAAATTGAAAGATAAATAAAAAAATTAGTGCACCGTTCTTTTGTCAAATGCTTTTACCTTGTATCCGTTTAAGCATAAACTTGTGGGCTTTGCTGCACTGACACGCCCACATTAGGCGAGGGTTCAAGTGTGATTTGAGACTGTCATGGCGTCACATCGTAGGTTCCCTCTCATGTTCCCTCCAGTTTTATCATGAATGGGATTGATACGAACACATCCCAAAAACCTCCACAATAGTGTTCTTCCATGGTGGATATGTTTCTTTCACCATCACTGGCATTTGTTCATTTTATTTTTATAGTCTTTAAAAAAAAGGGGGCGGGGACTATTTATGCTTCTGTTTTGTTGGAAAACAAGAAAATGTCTCTAATAAATAAGATAAATGTCATAAACATTCTCTATTTTTGAGTAGAGATTAACTAAACTTATAGTTTACCCTTTTAATTTTATGACCCCAATGATTTGACTTAGTTTTGAGAAAAAAAACGGGTCATACAGTTCGTTGCTTTATTCTTTCCCCTAATTTCTTTCAGTTTCGATTTTGAAGTCTTTTTCTCCCAAACCTACTTTTGATTTCATTAATTTTATTGTGTTTTAAAGTCGGTTTGAAAAGCCTGTCAGAAATGAGTAATCCCCCACTATGAACATGTATCCACCTTCGTTACAGGCGTCAGAGTTAACGCTGTTAAAGTGGACGCTGCAACATTTTGGACTTGGCAGAAAATATA